GAAAGAAAGGAAATGAGAATGAGATGAAGGAAGGAAGGAAAGAAAGAAATGAGAATGAGAGGAAGGAAGGAAATAAGAAGGAAGAAGGAAGGAAGGAATTGAGAATGAGAGGAAGGAAATAAGAATGTAGAAGGAAGAAGGGAGGATGAAAGAAAGGAAATGAGAATGAGAGGAAGGAAGGAAGGAAGGAAAGAAAGAAATGAGAAGGAAGGAAGGAATTGAGAATGAGGAGGGAAGGACGGAAGGACGGAAGGAAGGAAATGAGAATGAGAAGAAGGAAGGAAAGAAGGAAGAAAAGGAGAATGAAAGGAAGGAGGGAAATGAGAATGAGAGGAAGGAAGGAAACGAGAATGTAGAAGGAAGAAGGGAGGGATGGAAGAAAGGAAATGTGAATGAGAGGAAGGAAGGAAGGAAGGAAAGAAATGAGAAGGAAGAAGGAAGGAAACGAGAAGGAAGAAGGAAGGAAGGAATTGAGAATGAGAGGAAGGAAGAAAGAAGGAAGGAAGGAAGAAAATGAGAATGAGGAAGGAAAGAAATGAGAAGGAAGGAAGGAATTGAGAATGAGGAAGGAAGGAAGAAAATGAGAATGATAGGAAGGAAGGAAGGTAATGAGAAGGAAGAAGGAAGAAAGGAATTGAGAATGAGAGGAAGGAAGGAAGGAAGGAAGGAAGGAAGGAAGGAAGGAAGGAAGGAAGAAAATGAGAATGAAGAAGGAAAGAAGGAAATGAGAAGGAAGAAAGGAATTGAGAATGAGAGGAAGGAAGGAACGAAGGAATGAAGGAAGAAAATGAGAAAGAGAGGAAAGAAAGAAATGAGAAGGAAGAAAGGAATTGAGAATAAGAGGAAGGAAAGGAGGGAGGGAGGATGCTGCCCTCCTGTCCAGAACCCAACTTTTTTAGCCCAACTCGCCCTTGGCCCTCACCTGTGTATCCCGGGCGGCATTCACACTTGTAATCGTTGACTCTCTGCACACAGTTCTGGGTCCCTCGCGGGTCGCAGGGGTTCGAGAGGCACTCGTTAACGTCTCCCTCACAGCGCTCCCCAACGAAGCCTGGCAGGCAGATGCAGCTGTAGCCCCCCACCTTGTCAATGCACTTTCCGTGGTTGAAGCACTTGGGGGTCTGGCTCCGGGGGTCGGTGGCAGGGCTGCAGTCATCAATGTTGATCTCGCAGTGGATGCCTGGGGAGTGTGTGAGGGGGAGCCAATCAGTTCACCTCCCCATTTATTTATGCACTGCTTCATTTCTGAGGCTTATCAGCCACCGCGTAAAACCAACTCTCAGCCTCCCTATTTTGGGAGAGCCGAGGAATGTCGTGTTTTCCCTTCCTCAGCAGCTTCAGGGTGGGGGCCCTTCAACTTCCAGGATTCTCCAGCCAGCAGAATTCTGGGAGCTGAAGTCGTTAAGCTGGCGAGGTTGGGAAACACTGGAATACCAAGTGTAAGTGGCCAATTGTCCACGCTTGAGCCCAAGCTGGCCCAACGATTTTTCCATGTCTTTTTAGTGGCAATGGAGAAGTGCATTCCCCTTGCTTTTTCCCGGGATAGTAATAGCACTTATCTACCGCTTCACAGTGCTTTCCAGCCCTCTCTAAGCGGTTTACAGAGTCAGCCCCCAACAATCTGGGTCCTCATTTTACCCACCTCCCAAGGACAGAAGTGTCAGGCCTGCAGCCATCTTTTCTTTTGGGTCTTTGCCCTGCCACACTTTCTATTGTTCTACTATGCATTTACTCTTGTGGGAAAATGGGAGGGGGATTGTATAGAGTTAGATGATATGTAGCCATAACAAAATCCTTCCTAGAAAGCCAAGGTCATCCTTTGTCTTTGTACCTCTGCACCTGACTGGAACTGGATGGGTGGAACTGCCAGCATGGCAGTGGGAGATTGGACCATGGGATGGACTTGTGTTGGGCAAGATCTTGAACTTTGCACTCTAGTGGGGAAAACCGAGAAGCTTTCAGATTCGGGTTTTCCCAGATGTGCCAACATGGCTCTCTTCATAAATGGGAATTTTGAGGAATATTTTGCCTTGGATTCTGATTTACTTTTGGATGCTATTTGGAACCCTGACCGGAAGGCTGGGTCAACCTTGAGCCTGGTCAGATTCGAACTGCCAAATTGCAGGCAGCCGGCAGGCAGCAGAAGGAGCCTGCAGTCCTGCACTCTAACCACTACGCCACCTCAGCTCTTGCCTACGTCCCTGGGATACCCTGGTAGTCTCCCATCCAAATACAAGTTAGGTCCAACCCAGCTTTTCTTTGTATATCAAACTAAAATCAGCTGCTCTCTTCGACTCCAGGCTACCATCTCACCCAATTTGTTTCCCCCGCAGCCTTTACGCATTACTGGAACCCCAGTGGAGGAAACCAAATTAATTGACAGGATCCTGGGGCTGGAAGGGACTTGAAGGTCTCCTAGTCCAACCCCCTCATAACCATCTTGGACAAATAAGTTATCCAATTTTGAAAAGGTGCATGGCCAACTCTCACCACCAGAGGGAGACAGACCTCACCTCTCCCAATTTGGGGACACAGACCCAAACTCCTAAGATGCAGCCCCCTCCCCTCCACCTTAGCCCCCCTCCCTTCTCAATCTGCAAAAAGCCGAACCCAGAAATGGGATCCAAACCGAGCTGGTTTCCACACAGGGGCGGAGCCAAAAGAAGTCAAAGTGGCAGAGACTGTTTGACTGTTTTGACTCAGTCCTGCAGGAACTGATCAGCTGAGCTGAGCAAGGCTCTAGATCCAGGGGTGGGATTCAGCCGGTTCGGACTGGTCCGCCGAACTGGTTGTTGCAAGGACTGGCTGGCCCCGCCCAAACTGCCCTTCCCAGGAGTCTCCACATGGCCCGTTCATCATGCCAGGTTAAGTACAGGACCCACACAGAGGCAAAACACACCACCCGGAAGTTCTGGAACTCCGGAAACGGGCCCATTTCCAGCTTCCGGAGGGCCTCCGGAACCCGGGAGAGGCCATTTTCGCCCTCCTGGGGGCTCAAGGAAAGCCTCTGGATCCTGCGGAGGGTGAAAACTCTCCCACCCCCGACGTGAGGAGGCAGAGGAGGCCACGCTCCCCATGGCCACACACACACCCAGCAACTGGGCAGAGAACTAATTGCTAAAAATTTCCAATCCCACCCCTGTAGCATCCTCTCTCCCTGCCGGGCTTGCTGGAGGCTCCTACCTTGAGTTCCACGGGGACAAGAGCATTTGTAGGTGTTGAGCAGATCAATGCAAGTGCCGCCATTTTGGCAGGGATGAGAAAGACATTCCTTGATCTCCTCCGAGCAATTTCGCCCGTGGTAGCCGGCCACGCACTGCAAAGGAAGAAGCAGACAGACTTTCCCTCTTACTGGAGAAATATAATAAAAGAAATTCATATTTAATTCTACCTGTGGCAACAGCAGCGAGAATTGTATATACACAAAATTGGGGGTGAAATGAAAATACACCTACAGAGGAAAATGTAATAAAGAAAATATTAGAATGTGCTGAAATGGATAGATTAAACATTGAAAATTAAGGATAAGGGGGAAACAGAATACTTTTTAACTTGGGAATTATCCTATCAATGGACAGAAAACAGAAGCAGAAGTTAGAAATTTAGAATTGAGGAAGATATGTAAATAATGATGAAATAAGTGTGTAATTAAATAATGAATATTGAAGAATTAGGGTAAGTAAACATTATGATTAATAGAGGACAATGTTTATAATAGCTGATATTATTAACTAACTATAGGCAAGATTGAACAGAGTATTTAATTAGATAATGGAAAATGTTCAGTAAGGATAAGTGAAGATCATGTGGAGCAAGCAGACAGAAGTGAACAAGCAATACTGCAAGGAGGAGGAGGAGGAGGAGGAGGAGGAGGAGACACCTCTGAGCGAGCAGCAAAGCCAGGCTGTCCTGCCACAGGTAGGGCCAGGGCATCTGACTCCGAATGTCACTTGGGAAGGGCCTTGTGTCCCTCGCAAGGCACCTCCCCAACCTGACCCTGGGTAGCAGCAGGTTGAAATCCTGCCTTCCTGAAAGCGGCCCCCATGCCCGGCGGCCACGAAAACCCACCGGCCCGCATCCTTCCTAGTCGGGAAAGCCTACCTCGCAGGAATAGCCGCCCAGATAGTCCGTGCAGGTGGCCCCGTTCTGGCAAGGGTTGGGGGAGCACTCGTCCACCTGCTCTTCACAGTAGCTGCCTGTGTAGCCAGGCTGGCAGTGGCAGAAGTGGGTGTTGCCCCTGTCCACGCAGAGGCCGGAGTTTCTGCACAGGCGAGCCACGTCCAGTCCTGCAAGAGGGAAGCCATTGGACATGTGTGGCAGGCCGGGACGGGGCAGGTAGTAAGGGGGGATGGGAGCAAAACAACCCGGCCAAAGTGTCCGGCCCCAAGCCTTTCTTGTTCCTTGCCCTTTTGTGGTCTCGGGCCCAAGGACAATCCCCCACTCACCCAACGGTCCATACAGGAGGGGCCCCATCATGGAGAAGACCTCAAGGGGAGTTGGCCAGAGTTCTGGAAGTTCCCCCGAGGTCAGGAAGGAGACCCACCTTGCCGTCGTGCGGCCACCTCGCAAGAGACGTTGGGTACATCGCAGTACAGGCCGGTCCAGCCGCTCGGGCACTCGCAGCGGTAGTGATTGCTGATCTGCCAGCACTTCCCTCCGTTCTTACAGGGAGACGAGTCGCACCAGTTGACCAGGCTCTGCAGAGAAGGCGGGAAGAGGATGGCGCATGGGGTGAAGGTACGGAAGAGCTGCCCCCGTGCTGGAGCTAAGCGGAAGCAGAGAGCGACCCCCGGGAGGGACGGTCCCCGAGAGATGCTGACGGTGACGGAAAGTGGGAGCTATCCTCTTTTATTTGGTTTCCTTGTACGATTCACGTTCATTCTAAGTGTTGTCTTTTATTATTTATGATGAATGTATTTTTATGATGACTATGACCATGATTTATCACTTATAGCTTTTATGTACAATGAGAGCTTATGCACCAAAGACAAATGCCTTGTGTGTCCAATCAGCCTTGGCCAACAAAGAATTCTATTCCATATCCCTATTCTATTCTATTCTATATTCTACATGCTATATTCTATATTCTATCATCGATCATCTATATTCTATTGTCTATATTCTATTCTATTCTATATTCTACATTCTATATTCTATCATCTATATTCTATTGTCTATATTCTATTCTATTCTATATTCTACATGCTACATTCTATATTCTATCATCTATATTCTATTGTCTATATTCTATTCTATTCTACATTCTACATTCTATCATCTATATTCTAGTCTATACGCTATACTCTCTATTCTATTCCTATTTCTTTCTTACCATTGCATTTGAGACCTTTGCAAGTCTGTACAGCAAAGAAAAGCTGAAGTGAGACTGGCTAGCAACCACTTCGCTTAGTTACCACATTGCCCGAACCAGTTGGGGCACTGAACGAGAACTGCCTGCCTGCTTGCCTGCCTGCCTCCCTCCTTGAAAATCCAAAGCGAATATTCCACCTGGAGCAGGAAGCAGAATTGAGGGTTACCTGGCAATTGAGTCCAGTGTATCCCTGCAGGCAGGTGCATTTGTAAGTTCCGTAGCTGTCCTGGCAAGTCCCCCCATTCATGCAGGGTCTGGAGTCGCACTCGTTAATGTCGTGCTCACAATAAATGCCAGTGAAGCCGGGTGGGCAGACACATGTGAAGGTGTTGATGCCATCCACACAGGTGGCCCCGTTGAAGCAGGAGCTGAGTGATGGGAGGAAGAGAGCGTCAGAGTACGTACAGCTTTGCTAGGTGAGACAACCCAGGAGCAATAACAGCAAACAGAGGTTCGTAATAAATATTGGTCTTATCTACAAAAGAACATATACTATACATACATGTACTATAGGCAGAAGTCAAACAAACAGCAATTACAGCAGGGAAAAAAACACGGCACACCCTAACAGGGCTTCTTATTATTATACAGGTTCTTAAAGGGATAACAGCCGAAAACCTTCCTGACTCATTCTCATCATTACATCAGTGCATCATCGTAGCACCTGGTCAGCTGTTAAATCACTACCATGACAGAGAGAGTCACCCACCCACACCCCTGGCTTCAGAGATGCTGGACCTTACATGAAACGGAAGGACCAGGGTCAGGAGGGGTCTGTTTCGATCCATCGGGCCCATCCCAGATCAATGTTTCTCAGCCTCGACAAGCTGAAGACGGGTAGACTTCAACTCCCAGAGTTCATGGCTGGCTGGGAATTTCTGGAACCTTTAAATTGTCATGATTGAAAAGGCCCATTCTGGGTCAACTTACCTCTCCGTGCAGTCTGGGGTGTTGTGCTCACAGTGGATCCCACTGAAGCCCGACGGGCAGGTACAGGTGTAGCTGTTGACGCAGTCCGTGCAGTTGGCCCCGTTCTTGCAGGGGTCGCTGGCACATTCGTCCACGTCTTCCTGGCATTCGGGGCCCTGGAAGCCCGCCAGGCAGTTGCAGGAGAAGCCGTTCACGCTGTCAGAACAGGAGCCCCCATTGTGGCAGGGATCTGGGGGGGGGGGAGAGAGAAGCAGACTGGCATCACATTCGCAGCACCAGGAGGAGGGGAGGGGGATGGTGGGGCGCTCTCCCAAGGAGTGCAGTAATATCCCTGTCCATGCCCTCTTCAACAACTGCTACCCCAACCCCAAACCCCCGCGAAGGTGACCCCCACGCCTCTGGGTCCCTGCTTCTAGCATGCCCAGAATCTGCCTTCCAGGAATTTAAATCCATGACCCTGGGTTTCTGGAATAAGAAGCAAAGGGATGCCCCCACTCCACCTCTTTGCAAAGGCAGGTAATGGTTCCCCTAGCACATATGCGCTAGTCGTTCTCGACTCTAGGGGGCGGTGCTCATCTCCGTTTCAAAGCCGAAGAGCCAGCACTGTCCAAAGACTTCTCCAGGGTCATGTGGCCGGCATGACCCAACGCCGAAGGTGCATGAAACACCGTTCCCTTTCCACCAAAGGTGGTTCCTATTTTCCTACTTGCATTTTTTACGTGCAAGTAGGTAGGTTGGCAGAAACTGGAACAAGTAATGGGAGCTCCCTCTATTACGCAGTGCTAGGGATTTGAACCCTCGAACTGCTGACCTTTCTGATCGATAAGCTCAGCGTCTTAGCCACTGAGCCCTTTTGCAAAGGTAGACAGCCTCTTCCCCTTCCCCCACAAACCAACCTTCCCCAGCAGCTGGCCTGAGAGACTTTCCTGCCTGCCCAGATGATAAGGGGAGGGGGCAGTTTTCTCCCTTGAAAGAGCAGTTTTGAAAGGCACCAGATCGGCTGCCCGGCTGCCCCCCCACCCTCCCAGCTCAATCAGGACAGACCCTGACTGGGAGTTTGTTCCCCAGGCTCACTGAGATTCTTACTGGGTTGACAGTCATCGATGTCAGTTTCACAGCTGTCCCCTGTGAAACCAGCTTTGCACAGGCAGCGGTAGCTCCCGTTGGTGTTTTGGCACGTGGCGCCATTCCGACAGGGGCTCTTGACGCACTCGTTGATGTCAATCTCACAGGTTTGCCCTGAGAAGGGAAGGGGAGAGAGAGAGAAATAGGACTGTGGAAAATGTCCGCTTCGCTCATCTCTAAAACCATTCAGTGTCTGCTCTTCCCTGAAGGGCAGAGATACAGATACAGATAAACAGAGTTGGAAGGAACCTTGTAGGTCATCTAGTCCACCCCCCAGCCCAAGCAGGAGGCCCTACACCATTTCTAACAGAGGGCAGTTCAGTCTCTTCTTGAAAGCTTCCAGGGCTGAAACTCCCACAACTTCCGAAGGCAACATCTCTTTCAATGAATGTAGATTAACAGAGTTGGAAGGGACCTTGGAGGTCATCTAGTCCAACCCCCACCCAGGCAGGAGACCCTACACCATTTCTGACAAATGGCAGTCCAGTCTCTTCTTGAAAGCCTCCAGGGATGAAGCTCCCATGACTTCCGAAGGCATCTCCTGTTCCATTGATTGTTCTCACTGTCAGGAAATTTCTCCTTATTTCCAGATTGAATCTCTCCTTGGTCACTTTCCATCCATTGTTCCTTGTCTGGCCTTCGGGGGCTTTGGAAAACAGCTTGACCCTCCTCTCTGTGGCAGCCCCTCAAATATTGGAAGACTGCTATCTTGTCCCCCTGATCCTTCTCTTCCCTAGACTGGCCATGCCCGGTTCCTGCAACTGTTCATCATATGTTTCAGCCTCCAGACCCCTCATTATCCTGGTTGCTCTTCTCTGCACTTTTTCTAGAGTCTCAACATCTTTTTTATAGTCTGGTGACCAAAACTGGATGCTGAATTCCAGATGTGGCCTTACTAAAGCTTTATAGAGTGGGATTAGTACCTCTCTTGATCTTGATTGTATACCTCTGTTAATGCAATTTAGGATTGCATTAGCTTTTTGGGCTGCCGCCACACACTGCTGGCTCATATTTATTGTTCCTTCTTGGCCAACTTTGCCCTCTGTCTCTTTAAAATACCTTGAGGCCCCTCCTCATCATGACTTATGCCCAACATCGATTTGAGCAAAATAAAAAATCCATAAAACGCCTGAACTGATTAATATCAAGCAGGAAACTAATTAAGACACAGCAATAAACCGCAATAACATATACGTGTGAGGACTGAAAACACCCAGGGTCAGACTACCAAGACTACAGGAAGAAAGAGAAGTGAAAACTAATTCATTAAGGCCAGAAAGAACTTAAATGGTGGAGTTTATAGCCATTAGAGACAGAGTCACCTACTGAGATAGGATGACGGAACAAAGGTAGCCACGATTCCTAGTTTGACCGTGAAGTGGAAAAAGAGACAATTTTCTCTATACTTGAGGACTTCTGCCTGGTTACTATGGGACCATAATCCAGCAGAGCACTTCTGAGGTTTTTAATTAATTAGCCAGCTAATGAAGACCAATTAGGATTGAGAAACCGTTAATTAAGCTTCAGCTAATGGTTTAGACTTGCCGTCTCCATGTATGTACAGTTCATATAAAAAAATGGAATTCCTGCAGCTAGGGGGAGGGATCAAAATTCGGGGTTGGGAGGCTCAAAGGCATTTCCACCCAGGCTGTAAAAACCATTCATTGCTGACTGGGAGGATTCGTCGTCGTTGTTTTTTCCCAGTCTGGAAAGGAAACGTTACCCTAAGTTGGAGATATCTAAGTTTATGGCTATTTAACCCCGTTAATTAGCTCAAATGCAGGAGGCTCCCAGTCGGGTGGATATCAATGCCCAGAATTTCCCAGGCTGTGTACTGTATTTTTCGGAGTATAAGACGCACCAAGGTTTTGAAGAGGCAAATTTAAAAAAAAAAGTTTTTGCACTCTGCAAACCTCCCCAAAACAACCCGTTTTTTTTTTTAATGGGCATGAATAGCCCTTAGGAGGCTTGTAGAATGCTTCAGGGGGGGGGACGAGCAAAAAATGGCTCATTTTTTTGTGAAAATGGCCCCCTTTTTGTCAAAAAAAGGGCATTGATAGCCTTTAGAAGGCTTATAGAGTGCTCCTGGGGAGTGGGGGGGGGCACACCCATTTTTGCAAAGGGGGCAGGGTTTCAGGAGGCAAAAATGCTGTATTAAGTATATAAGATGCACCCAGATTTTCACCCTCTTTTTTGAGGGAAAAAGGTGCGTCTTATACCTGCCTGAAGATATGCAGAGCAGGGATATACCATTTAACATCAGAGGGAGGGAGGGAGGGATGGAGGGAGCGAGGGAGGGAGGGAGGGAGGAAAGAAGGAAGGAATGATGGACCGTGGTGTTACAGTAGTTGGAATGGAACATTGCAGCCTAATTCTGCTCACTGCCAGGAGTTCGATCCTGACCGGCTCAAGATTGACTCAGCCTTCCATCCTTCTGAGGTCAGTTAAAAGGAGGACCCAGATTGTTGGGGAAAATAGGCTGACTCTGTAAACCGCTTAGAGAAAGCACTGTGAAGCGGCATATAAGTCTAAGCTCTATTGCAATTGTTTCCAACAAAATGCAGTCAAGATTCTCCCCCTACCAGCTCCGGGATGTCCCTCCCTTTCTCTCCCTAGATCGTCTTTCCGAAGTCTGCCCTTGGCTGCCTGAATGGTTGCACCTCAGAAACCCCAAAGGATGCGTGGGTGAGTGTGGGTGTGCGTGCAATGCCCCGAGGCCCCCTTCCTTGTACCTTGCCAGCCCGGAAGGCAGGTGCACAAAAAGCTCTCGTAGTCCTCCGACTCTCTGCACTGCCCCCCATTCTTGCAGGGACCATCCGCGCAGGGCGCCAGCACCTCCCGGCAGGTGAGACCTGCAGTTGGAAAGAAAAAATCGGGTTGGCTGCAGCCCATGGGCCCCCGACGTGGCACGGAGGCCGTTTACGCTCCATCCTGTCACCCAGGAGGCCCTTGGCTGGATCTGGGGCGCAAGTGTGCGCGAGTGAGAAGTCAGGCAGTGGAGATAACGGACTTTCCTACAGATTCCTGCCCAATGGACTCTGGCGATGAGAAGTCCCCACCCCCATCTCCCTTCTGGACCTCCCCAAGGGACTTTTTAAAAAAGTTTTTAATATTTTGTTCTCTATATACAATTATAGGTATACGTCCACATAGTTATTATTCCTTTTTACCTTCGTTATGCATTTGTCATTCCATTTACAGAGTTATAATATACCATTTGGGCTGCTTTGTTTACATTCCTCACCTGTTTTGATACCACCTTCTTTTCCCTTTCTTTTCTCTCTCCCTCCCTTCTTTACTTTCTTCCTTCCTCTCTCCTTTCCCTTCCTTCTTCCATTTCCTCTCCCCTACTCTTCCTCTTCCTGCCCTCTCTCCTTCGCTCGAGCCAGGTGGCGCAGTGGTTAAATGCATCACTGCAGGCTACTTCAGCTGACTGCAGTTCTGCAGTTCGGCTGTTCAAA